TTTAAATGCCTGTTGTTGTCTTCACTTCTTTTATCTAAATGCCTGTTGTTGTCTTCACATATGATCCTTTATTTAAATGCCTGTTGCTGTCTTCAGATCTTAAAAAGACTTTTATTTTAATTCATTTCTTCACATCTTTTATCTAAATGCCTGTTGTTGTCTTCACATCTTTTATCTAAATGTCTGTTGTTGTCTTCACATCTTTTATTTAAATGCCTGTTGTTGCCTTCACATCTTTTATCTAAATGCATGTTGTTGTCTTCACATCTATTATTTAAATTCTGTTGTTGTCTTCACATCTTAGAATTTAAATGCCTGTTGTTGCCTTCATATCTTTTATCTAAATGCCTGTTGTTGCCTTCATATCTTTTATCTGAATGCCAGTTGTTGTCTTCACATCTTTTATCTAAATGCCTGTTGTTGTCTTCAAATTTGTTATTTAAATGCCTGTTGTTGTCTTCAAATTTGTTATTTAAATGCCTGTTGTTGCCTTCATATCTTTTATCTAAATGCCTGTTGTTGCCTTCATATCTTTTATCTGAATGCCAGTTGTTGTCTTCACATCTTTTATCTAAATGCCTGTTGTTGTCTTCAAATTTGTTATCTAAATGCCTGTTGTTGTCTTCAAATTTGTTATTTAAATGCCTGTTGTTGTCTTCAAATTTGTTATTTAAATGCCTGTTGTAGCCTTCACATTTGGATCTTCTCTTCTCAATCTGTATTGTTACCTGTCTTGAACTTGGATGAGAAAATTTATGGTTCATCCTTAAGTTGTTGGGTTGATATATTGTTGACATATATATTTTGTCTTGCCTGTGACATATTTATTGTTGAATGCAAGACATAGTGTATGCTAATTTGTCTTAACCTTGACAGCATAAATTATTTGAAAAAGCTTTATGTGTCAGTTGGTACAAAATCTGGATAATGCATATCACAGATGCCTATAATATATGTTACAGTCGGAAGTTTCTGTATGACATATATCAGTTAACTTGACCTCATTTTCCTGATTCTGTGACAGCTTCAAAACTGAAAAGCTTTTTATCACTTGATAATAAAGCTCATCTGAACTAAGTACAAGGACATCATTCGTAAATATAAATCAACATGCAGACATCTTATACGTTCAGGTATTTCACATCCAATATTTTATGGTAATATTCTTTACAAAGCACAAAAATGTCGGCATTCAACTCAAAAGCTAACCAAACCTTTAAACAGACTTATTCGGAAAGGATATAGTTACAATTCTTTTGTCAAGTCATTAAGGATTGCATATTTTGGTATTAATATCGATTCACTCATAGGGTCTTTGCATCGGAAATAAACACATTTATTCTAAAACCAGTTGTTGGCATGATACAGGTTATGTTCTTCTCATATATTTTATGATGGTATGATACTAAACCCCTAACAGGAGGGATTGTGCTTGTTTTTCATATGATGAAGACATAATCTTTCAATCAGTTTAATTGAGTTCTGGAGCTGGCATGTCAGTAACTGCTAGTAGTCCTTTGTTCATTTATGTATCATTGTCATTTTGCTTGGTTTCTTTTGTTACCTATTCTGACATCGGACTCAGACTTCTTTGAACTGAGTTATACTGTACGTATTACTATGTGTCTCTTTATTCTACATTGGCTAGAGGTATAGGAGAGGGTTGAGATCTCACAAAACATGTTTAACACATTTTTGCGCCTGTCCCAAGTCAGGAGCCTCTGGCCTTTGTTAGTCTTGTATGTTTTTTAATTTTAGTTCATTTATATGTTTTGGAGTTTAGTGTGACGTCCATTTTCACTGAACTAGTACACAATTTTATCGGAAGGCCACTGTTGTCTGCTCTTTGGTTGGGTTGTTGTCTCTTTGACATATTCCCCATTTCCATTCTCAATTTTAAGACATGTCTTTACAGGAGCTTTTGCTATCACTTGTAGTTTATTATACATTGTCGTTAGTAAGTTTTTACTGTTTTCTTCTGTGAAACTATAGAAAATATTGAAATTAAAAACTTTTCTATAATCTTCAATTAACTTTTGTTCTACAAACATTGTTATATGTGATTGAATAAATAGGAATGAGTTAAATTTTAACAAAATTGTCTTTTTTTGGCCAAATTGGTACCTTATTTGTCTAATGAACTGACATCCTACAGTTTTCGTTCCAGAACACTCAGCTAAACTTTATAGAAAAATGAAAGACATGTTTAAGTTGTGCTCCTGCTATTATGAGATTGTTTGAAGAATTTTTTTCTTATTTTTCCTTAGACTTAGGAACTTAGACATTTTTCCGCAAAATTTATTAAAGACGGTACTTGTTTTATGTAATCAACTCCTATAGTTTTCAACCCAGATCCCTGAAACTTCATAGAAAGATTCCACACCTATTGAAGTGTGCACCTGCTATTATGAAATTGATTGCAGAAAACAATTTTTCTCACTTTTCCGACATTTGAGAACTTAGTGATTTTTCATCATTATAAACAAAAGACTGGGCCAATTAATTGGATGTAGTCAGCTCGTCCAACAATTTTCAACTGACAGATCCTTGAAACTTCCCAGAATGATTGCACATATATTGAAATTGGGCACCTGCTATTTTGGAATTGTTTGAATAATTTCCCATTTCCCCATATTTTAAGGAACTTTTTTCAGTGAATGTACTGAGGATTCATTTATTTTCGTGGGTACAAATTTTCGTGGATTGAGGAAAACTTGTCTATTCGTGGATATTTAATTTCTTGGTTTTGGCAAAGTCTGCATACATTCTTTTTGAAAATTTGTATTTCGTTGAACATTTAAATTCGTGGTTCCCCTGTACCCACAAAAATTGGTATCCAACGAATATTAATGAATCCACAGTAACTTGAACCTTAGCCATGCGTGAATGGCTAACCCTTTAAAAATGGGTTGTTTTAACCATAAATTTCTTATCAGTTTTCCAGAATTCAAATTATTCCAGTTTTGAATAATTCCTTGTTGTAACTATTTCTATATCTGCACAACCCAGCCAGTTGAGTCTCTGATCTGTAGTTTATAATGACTATTGTGACTCAATGACACCATGTGAAGGCAACTCCTCTAAGAAAAGTTTGACAAAATATTCTCATACTTGGTAGGATTGTTTTCAATCATGTGTAGTTTACTTTTTTATACCATCTATTGATTTGATCATTGTTTTGGGAATTATGTGATTTTGACCTTTTTTTTCTATCCCCACTTCAATGACACCTTGTCAACACAACTCCTCTGACACTGTTTGACAGAAAGCTCTCATACCTGGTAGGATTGTTTGCCATCATGTGTAGATTACCATTTAATACCATCATTTTGATACTACTATTTTTATGGGAATTATGGGATTTACCTTTTTCTTTACTATCCCCACTACAATAACACCTTGTTACCACAACTCCTCTGACACTGTTTGACAGAAAGTTATCATACTTGATAGGATCGTTTTCCATCATGTGTAGTTTACCATTTTGTACCATCATTTTGATACGACTATTTTAATGGGAGTTAGGTGATTTTGACCTTTTTTTTCTATCCCCACTACAATGACACCTTGTTAACACAACTCCTCTGACACTGTTTGATAGAAAGCTTTCATACTTGGTAGGATTTTTTGCCATCATGTGTATATGGCCATATGTTTTGCTGTCATTTTGATTGACCATTTTTGTCTTCTTAAACGTGCTGTTAAGGGACATCAACAATACATTAGCGTGTGATCAGGTTGGTGTAAGGGGAACCACTAGTTGTAGGTCAATAATATTTGGTCTTCAGATGTATTATCATTGGCACATCTCATTTCCATGGAGATTATTTGTTTGGCCTTTCGAAAGATGATACCTTGTGAATGCATCATGATCTACATGTATGTTCCTGTTTTACAACTCTATTCTGTACATGCAATTATTTTAATCCCTTATTTACGCAGCTCAAAGGAGGAGGACATTTCCCTGCGATGTTCATAAATTCCAATATAAGGTTGTTGTAGATTCATACTGTAGGAGAAGTATATAGTGAAGGATTCATGGTCTAAAATTTTTTTTTATTTTAATAGTGGAAACTCAGTGTAAAGGTGCTGCTTTTGAGAAATTGTTTAGTTTCATGTCTGTTTCATTAAATTTGATTTGTTTTTAATAGAAATAATAAGGGTTAGGGTTTCAGATGGTATCTTTAGTGCATCGTTTATAAATATCATCCTTGAAATTAAAATAATGTCATAGATGTAGGTTAAAAACATCTGCATTACATGAGCATTATGATGTTCCTATCTTATTAAACATGAATAATGCAGTTTATAAGCTACAATATATGTTATTCATTTAGTATATATCTTTGATAATTATGTAATGACATGAAGTTGTTTTTTTCCTGTCGTTTATCATTATTGTCTTTATAATCAGTATTTAGATCAAGATGTAGGTAACATATCTAGAGCACCCTAGATAGAACTGTTAATATGTTGTTTTTTATCTGCTATTTAAGTAGACACACTCTCTTTATTCTTAAAATATTGCTTTGCTCTTTGTGACAGTGAAGTCGCCCCTTGATTATCTTTTTCTTGATAAGGCTCTTATATACAAATATCCTAGCAAGCTACACCAGAGTGAAGATGAAGAACATCAAGCATTAATGAAATATTCTTAGTCATTTATAATGTGGCACTTTAACTATATATATATAAGGCAATATTCGTGTTAGCAAAATTATAATCTATCTGATTAGGCATTTGGGACAAAAGTATATCATACATTATCACAGAATCAAAAATAGAAAAAGACTATAGTACAGTCAAACCTGTATATAAAGGTCACCATCAGGATAAAAAAACCTGACTTTATAAGACAGGAGACCTTTGAATTGATCTTCAAAATGCATAGTTATTATTGCAGTGGGACAAGAAGAGGGCGACCTGGGGAGACAGGATTCCTTTTAAAAGAAATTACTTTTATAGCAGGTTTGACTGTATATTTCTTTTGTGTATTTTAGGTTGGATCCTCATTGTTTGCTAGTAATATCGGAAGTATCCACTTTGTTGGCCTGGCAGGATCTGGTGCTGCATCAGGTATCTCTGTTGGACTGTATGAAATTAATGTAAGTGCATGTTTGGTATTAACAGTGGATAGGAATGGAAATTTAATCTCTTTTTGGGCTGAGTTGTCTGGATCATTACAGAATTACAGTTACAAAACTAAGTACATCTTTATAAAAGTAGAGGTGTGGTCAGTGAGACAGCCAACAACCAAACAGGACAGTCCAAGATGAACATGGACTTCCTTTGAAAAAGGGAATCACCTGGATTGTTACTTATAAGAGATCTCATACTTGTGATTTGAACTTTTGACAATTACCTCTATATATTCACATCTTGAAAAATCGTGAAATATTTATTACTTTTGTCAAAATAATTCCCGCACAATATATATTACATTGTCCACAAGTTGTGTAACATTGAATGGTCATACTGGGTATCTTTAAAGCAAGTTATATGCTTCTCTAGTGACCCTGTGTTACTCCTATTTTAAAAAATCCATTGATCAGCCATAATCTGCCTTAAGGCACAATAAGTCTCTTGTCTTAAAATAAGATCACCAAATTCATTGGTAAAGAAATTGTGCCTATAGAATTATTGTTAGGTGTACATGTCGACGATCTGACTGAGATCAAATGACCATGACCTCATTTTCATGGTTCAATGATCAATGCTATTTGTGCTAATTTCAGTTCTTCAACTGCTATCAATAATACTGCAACTATATTTGGTCCATAGAATTGTTGTAAGTAATGCAGTCAATAAGACGGGGAAACTAACCTTGACCTCAATTTCATAATTCAGATATCAACATAAGATTTTCATACTTAATATGAATAAAAGGAGATGTTGGGTATACAATGAAACAGAAATCTAATGACACAAAAAACCACCAGACAGGATTTAGAGGTCAACAGTCATTGCAGTCTTCAACAATAAGCATTATAATCATCCTTCCCTACCGCTATATCAGCTTCCTCAACATATCTGTAAAACTCGTATCCAGTTAGCGCGTGCAAGTGAGGAGACATTATCAAGTGAGCAGGACTTATCAACAAATTCTCCCAACATATTGCCTTGTATTGTAATGGTGATAAGTCACCAAATAAATTCTTTTAATAAAATAAATTACACTTGCAGTACATATTTTACAATGAACCATTTCTTTTTTCCTAAAATTACTTTACATTATGAAACGAGATGTTGATAAAATGGTGTCGACGGCAGTCTTGATAAGTTCTGCCGGGACTACTTTTTTTCAGAACTGAACTATTTGACCTAATTTGAACTATTGATCTGACCTGTATTGAGATCAATCTATCGATACAAATGTCAACAATGCGGGGGTGGCAGTTTAAATTATTAAAAACATTTATAGTGAACATAAATCTGTCTTTCTCAAATTAACTTCTTTTTTACGAATTACGACTACTTAAATATATATGTGTACTTTTAGTCTTGAAAACAAACAGCATTTTGTTTGATGCGTTTCTGACATTTTTTATGAAGCGTATGCTGTTCAGCAGTCATCGAGTAGAAATTTTCTTCTTCTGGTGATATGAAATACTACGATCTTTCAATATAATCTTTAATATTTCTTTTTTTTTTAGTATCATCTTCAAATATTATACTCTCATATATGCATTATCATGTACACGAAACATTTTTCTTCCTCTAGTTAATGGGAATAATTTACCCTGCGTATTTTGGCCACAAGGTGTATCCGCGGTTTAATATTTTGATGACGTGTGTTGCCTAGTAATAACAGAGACACTCTGGTAACTCTGGTAATAACAATTCCCGCAAAATTATTGAAAAAGGAAATTTTGATAAAAAACATTGCTTTGAAAGATGATAAAAATGTTATCTGAATGTGGATTGTATAGATATTGAAAAATATCAGCCCCCTCGACAAAATATGAAGCTAAATGGCTTGTTCGCTACGCTCACTCGACATTTAGCTTCATATTTTGGCTCGCGGGCTGATATTTTTCTATATCTACATATCCACATCCAGATAACATGTACGTATAATGCAGTCAATAAGATGGGGAAACTAACCTTGACCTCATTTTCATAATTCAGTTATCAACATAAGATTTTCATACTTAATATGAATAAAAGGAGCTGTTGGGTATACAATGGAACAGAAATCTAATGACACAAAAAACCACCAGACAGGATTTAGAGGTCAACATGCAGTCTTCAACAATAAGCATTAGTATATGTAAAATGAATTTCAGAAAAAAAAAGTTCTAAATCAACTTGAGGCTAAAAAATACTCTATAAACAAATAGTTTTAAGAGAGACTATCAAATACTTGCATCAATATCAAATTCTCTTAACATTCTAAATGACCAAAAAAACCTTAAGATATAACAAAAGACAGAATTGACTTGGCAATATGCCAACAAAAAAATTATACAGATACAGTGCAGAATAGTAATAGATCAGTTTTTCCAGTCATTTGAGTTAAAGTTCAACTATTTTTTATTCATAGAATCAATTGGAAGATGTACCTCTGTCTGATAGAATCTCTTGACTTCAAGGGCTTGACATTGTACTCTTGGTTATTGTAACATTAAGTTTTCTTGATAGTAAGACATTTAGCTCGAGGGTTATGTATTTATAATCGAATAAGATGCAAAACAATGCAGTGTGTCTCCTTTGAATAATTTTTCCTTGTTAAGTTTAATCTAATATCTAAAGTTGCTTAGTTTGTTACATTTCTCAATTGTATGCTTAATGGTTCACAAACGGGGTTGGGGATGGGGTATCCCATATGAGGATTAAACTGATTTTTTAGGGCTGAAATAACATGAACAATCAACATTTTACCCTGTTTCAGGCTAACATCAGCTAAAATAGGAGGATTGGCAATGATGAAAAAATATGTAGGTTAATTTAAAGCGTGACAATAAAGGCAATTTCATTCCTTGTGTAGTAATACTTAAATCTAATATAGTTTTACTAGAAACATATTTGTTCATAATTTGTTATACAGGTATTAACTTTCAGTCAGCCTTATCCACAAATTGTAAAATCCAGCATTTGATTGATTTATTGATTGTTGGCAATGCTTAATGTCCAGTGGCAAATATTTCATGCATGTTCAGGACGAGAACAAATTAACAATAAATTTAATAGGTAGTTCCTGAAATAGAGTCTGCTTGGAATGAAGGTTGGGGGGAAATTCGGATTACCACTGGAAATTCAAGCATTTGAAGGAACTGCATGTATACATTCAAACATGCATAAAAGTGTATCATATATTTATATGTGCCTTGTAGTTTTCTGGGAAAGTGCTGTATAATGACTGAGACTGCTTATTAATTTTCAAAATCTATCAAAATATTCTTAAGCATATCTGTCTTAAATTTTCAAAAATGATCTTCTAATTTTTTGATTTAGTTAACGAACATTGGGTAAATTTTTATTTACATTGTATGATTTATGGCTAACATTTTAAATATTTGATATTTTTAAATTATATTTAAGTGAAACTGTCAAAAGATTTAATGCCAAATGGCATTAATTTAACTTTACCTTAATTACACTGACTCACACATAGATTTAGGTCTTTTATTAAAAAAAATCAAAAGTGAGTAAAAGGTGAAAGTTGGCTCTAATTTCAGGAATAATACATAAAATACACATGTTTATTAAATGATGTATTTAATTTGATATATGGTAATATTCATCTTTTAGGCTATGTATATTTTGCTGATATTGGGATACCTGTTTCTGCCAGTATATATTTCTTCAGGGGTAAGAATTATATTATTACTTTTACTATATATATATCATTGGTTAATTGATAACATTTTAAGAAAGATGCACAAATATGCATGCCATTGTGAATTTTAATTGTTTTAGGGATCAATTGGTCTAAGGTCTTGTGATATTTTATTGTCTCTTGTTTTTTGTCATAAAAAGTATGAAGATCATCTTCAAAACAAATGAGGCAAATGAAACCAAATTTTTTCAGATATCATTCTTTTAGGTGTAATACCACCAAATCATAGTACGTCACATCCGGTTGCATAGGAAAATAGGTCGAAAAAAAATATTCCCTTGAATTTGACAGTTGTAGGTAATTGATCCTACATTTCATTGCAGTAAAACATTTCTGGGTCATAAACATATATCTTGGGTATTTCAAAGCACAATTATCTTTTTATTTGGGGTTTCTATAGAATATTTTGGAAACTTGGGGTTACATGGTTACTAAAGCTTGTACACAGGTTAAAAAAGGGGGAAAATTTGATTGGTTAACTTCCAGTGATGGTTATTTTCCTATATGCAATGAAATGTTATGTGAAATTTTTCCTATAGTACTGGACAGGATAAAACTTTACTCATGCCAAGTATTTCTTTATTTGAAACAAAGATAAATTCTGCACTATTTTTTGAAAAGTGCAAATTTAACAAAGACTAATAGGGGAAAATCAATGGTGGTATTACACCTATATGGAAATAAGAAGAATTGGCATGATTGCAATGAGACAACTATCCACCCAAGAGCAAAATATAAGGAAGTATTTAACAACTATAGGGCACTGTACAGCCCTCAACAATGAGCAATTCCATACCGTTATGATGGTTCAAAAGCTTGTTACTTTTAGTTCTAATTGAATAACTAAACATGGCCACCTAGCAAGATAATAGGGTTCTGATATTCTGAAAATTGAAAGAACTGAGAACTGCTAAATAATTTGAGACCAAATATAAGAGACAGGTTCCCTTTATGATACTGGCACTATCACATTTCTATATCAAGTACTCCTAACCATTTTTTTGGTGGAAAGAAGACTTTAGATTGTTACATAACTGATGTTTTGGAAAAAAGAGGCGAAAGATACCATTTGGACATTCAAACTGAGACATGTCGAGAGAAACTGACAACATCATCGATGGCAAAAAATGAAAGACACAAAAATTTCACAAAACACTGTATAGAAAACTAAAGAAACCCAACAAAAATCTGGGTTGATCATTAGATTTGGTAGAACCCATGCATTGGTTACATTTGAAAGCAAAGAGACAATTCCACTTTGCCCTTCTTTAAAAAAAAATCAAACTTCAACCTCTTAAGTAGACAAATAAAACTATGTTTAAGAGACCATTTTTGTTGAGCTTGTAGGTGCTACTATCTTATGGACAATGAATTTGTCATTTTTATAGAGTGGCCAAGTTATCTTCTGGCAGAGTTAACTTGTACTTCAGTGCAAACCTAGACAAAAAGACAACCTGTTAACTCGCTTGTGTGTCTACATCAACTTAGTTGTTGTATCATTTTTGAGAGTCTTATTATCTTAATTAATCATGCTAAACAATTAGAAAAGTAGGAAATCTGACAATTTTCTTATTTTGAAGACCATTTACCAATGCACAGCGATGAAGAATGAATAATTGTAGAATATCAGATGATCAGATGTATACAATTACATTGTTTGCAAAGATGAACGTTCTTGCTTTTTATACCGTTATTAAAAAGCATTTTAATGAGTCGTCTTTCCCCTTCAAAGCTATTAAGATCTTTTATTTTAAATGTCAGTAGTAAGGCTACAAATTCCTTTCCTATTGATTAATACTTATAGAAATAATCTGTATAGATAGATGTTTACCAGTGTCCACATAGACCACTCAGACACCAAGACCTTACCCTTACATGGAACATTTAAACAGAACCAAACTTGTTAATAACTGAATCTGAAAATAATCAAAGTACTGAAGTACTGAGCATCGGATGACCGCAAGTTCTGGTGGATAGTCACAGGCACTTGTCTCACAAAAAAAATCATATCTCTATACCTGAAAGTTAGGATAAGAAGGTACATAGATATATTGTTTTTTTCTGAGACAAATTCCTGTATGGATGATGAATAAATAACAAGGAATTCAACCTCACCGTAATAATTATTATATTGTACATGTGTAGTGATATAATCATGGGACAATCATTTGTTATCAATATAATATATATCATATTAATATTTGTATAACAGTTATATATATAGCAGATCATCTTAATAACTCTACTGGCAAATTATCATCCATTTATACCATCATTCTATTCTACTATTCTAATGATAGTGCAGTGCAAGTGCATGGTAGACACTCTTCTGTAATAATAGGTTTGATTTGAGTAGGCATTCATATTTCTCCCGCTGTTGTTGCAAAACTTGGGCATCCTCAAGATATTCTTCAGCATGCGTAACACAGATTTTCAGTATTCATGATTTGTTACTGATATATATATTTCTCACGACAAAACATTTTCATATCATTTATCTATGTTCTTAAAAAAATATTTTCATGAATATTTATTGATGAAATCAATATATATTAACAAGCGATAAGAGATATTCATCCTAAAACACAATTTTTCGATATTAATGATTGTTTTACTTATATATATATATTTCTCACGACAAAACATTTTCATATTATTTATTTATGTTCTTAACAAAAATATTTTAATGAGTATTCATTGAAGAAATGAATTTATATAACAAGCGATAAGGAATGTTATTTTGCACTCGATAATATCTGCGTATTTACACGAAATACGTTCAGTTTTCAGTCAAAAGCGCAAGGGACATGTGCAGAAATTTCTGCGGCAACATAACACCGGTATGACCTCTCAAGGTCACATCCGATGTAAAAATGGAAAAATATTGTAGTATTATTGTGTGGCTTAGTTCTTTGTAATGTGACATACATGATTTATGAGTTGACAAATATTGTTTCTCACTCACATTAAATTAGGAATTCATGTTTTTAAGGTGTTTACAATGCCAGAATACATGAAGATGAGATTTGGTGGAAAAAGAATTCAGATTTATCTGGCTATTTTGTCATTGTTTGTGTACATCTTCACCAAGATTTCAGTAAGTAGTTTCATCATCTATTAATTCAGCATTTTTAGCTCACATGACTATTAGGGCCATTGTGGGCTTTCCCCATCGCTTGGCATCTGTTGTCTGTAGTCAATAAATATAGTCGTTTGTTAATTATACCCCCGCTTTAAAAAAGTGGGGGTATACTGTTTAACCTCTGTCTGTTCGTAAGTCCGTCCGTCTGTTCCATAAATATTTTTCGTCGCATCTTTCTCAGGAACTACATCATAAAGATTTCTGAAATTTGGTTTCAGGGTTTATATAAGTCAGCTATATCATGTGATGCATTTTCAGATTCATCACTCAACAACTTCCTGTTTAACGAACACTTACATATTTTTACACTATTAAAATTATCCATTTGCGGAGGGGGTATCATCAGTGAGTAGTAGCTTGCAGTTTCACTTGTTTTTACAGATATCTTCTCTGAAACTACTGGAGAAAATTAAACGAAACTTGGCCATAATCATCTTTGGGGTATGATGTTTAAAAATAGACCCAATGAAACTGCTTGTCAGAAAACTCCTTATTGCCCATAATGTAAAGTATTTGTAATTAAATTTTGAAGATATTAAGGATTTTGATAACATTTTTATGCAATTAAAACTCGTTTAACTGCCTCTTAATATGAAAAAAATTATATGTGTAGCATTTATACTTTCAAAAATATAGTTGATTAAAAATTTGTGAACTATTTCTATATAGACAAGGTTCACTTTAGACCAAATATGGCCTTGAATTTTAACTTTATCATTAAATTTCAAAATGGCCATAATTTGGTTCTTAAATGGATCTATTTCAAAAACCTTACTACTAGGTTAAACAATTAAATTATGTTAAAAACTGTTAAGAATTATTGAAACTTTTACCAAAACTGACGTTACAACACAAATAATGCATACTTGAGGGGTAATTTCTTCAGCATTTTTCATGTGATGTGCCAAAAAGACGTTTTTTTGTATTAATAGTTATATCACAACTATTTCTATGTGAAATTTGTAGTATTATGGCCTGATTAAAAAAACATCAAAATCTTAGGACCAAATTTAACCCTTCGTGAACTTACTCCTTTATAGAATGTTTGTAAAAAGTGGGGAAAATATGCATTTTTCCACTTTCAGTATGATTTCTAAAAAATCTGTCAACAGAATATTGTTGAAAAATTGTAATGCTGTAAACTTTCCTTTTGAAAGATATGAATACATATTAGGTATGACAAGCCGTTTTTATATTTATTCAATTTCCAGATATCTTTTTAACTAAATAAGATATCTTATAAACTTTATTGTATAAAGAATTCAGGCCCTCGCGAGTGGGAGAGTCTATCACAGGGAGGGACTGAATTATTCAGGTTACCAGTGTAGGCACACCTCCAATGGAGTAGAATAAAATAGTGTCCTTCACCACACAATATTATAAGTTAAGAATATGTCAAATCCTCTACACAATAATATATCAATAAAAATGACTTCTTCTGTTCCGCCACCGTTATGTACAATTAATATATAATTTCACGATAAAAAGATAAAATTATCTTTGATTTTAATCCGTATGCACCCATATAATAACCAAAATTTATAATTGGTTGATTACTGTCTGATTTGATTACAACTGATGATGCCTGTGGAGATTCCCACCCTGATCATCAGCATAATGTCAAAATAATTACTGTGCACTTCAGCTTTATTTCAATACTTGTTTTCTCCATTTTTGTTATCAAGCCTTAAATTTTATTGGCAAACATTTATTCTTGGCTGTATTAAATGTAAAGTGCATGTTATTGACATACAAATTCCTAAAAATGGGGGTTGTGTGCATTTCCACGGAGGTTGTAAATTATCATTTCACGATAAACGAAAGAAAACAAAGCAATTCCTTGCTCCCTATCAATATGCATGAAACTTGTTTAGGTTACAAGGAAATAATTATTTACATAGGCGACAATGGTAGCCTTTTTTGGTCCTGCGTTTTCCCTATCAAAGATCCATTGAAAAAAATGTCGAAATCTGAATTATCAACACCTTTGTGTGTAATTGAAACTGCAAAACACATATGGTGCCGCAGCTTTTTTGATAGAAAAATGGCATTTTTTAAGGGTCTTCAACGGTTCCGGAATTTTCGAAATAGTATAAATGAAGAACACTCCTTGCTAAATTTGGCACAGAAAATGTTTCTCGTCACAGAGAGTTTTCTCTAAATTTCTCGCTATTTCTACACCAATGGCCAACACTCATTTCAAACTATTTCAATTTTGATTTCTAATTACTAGGGCAGCAGAAAATAAATTTACTTCTACCTATTATCTTGGATGTGAAATCTAGGTGGCGCCAATCATCTTTATTTACTTCCTTTTAACCTTTAATGTTCTTCAAGCAGGAAAAATTGCAATCATATGGAAATGACAGTTTACCACCAGCAAAGAAGATCCCAATATGAAAACAGGGATATTGGTTTTGTCCTTTTTTCTAGGTAACCCTGCTTTTGATATCAAAAAGATTTAAACAAAAAAACTTATCACATTTAGTTTGTAAGAAATCTTAATTGTTTATTTTTTTCTTATTTAATATATAAGATACATTATTTAGTATATAAGATATCTTTCTTAATATATAAGATATCTTATTTAATATATAAGGTGTCTTATTTAATATATAAGATATCTTATTTAGTATATAAGATATCTTATTTAAAATATAAGATATCTTATTTAGTTTATAAGATATCTTATTTAATATATAAGATTTCTTATTTAATATATAAGATATCTTATTTAATATATAAGATATCTTATTTAATATATATAATATCTTACTTAATATATATAAGATATCTTATTTGATATATAAGATATCTGATCAAATATATAAGATATCTTATTGAATATATAAGATATCTTATTTACTACATAAGATATTTTATTCAAAATGAAATATATCTTTATAAGTCTATTTAAATAAGTTTGTAAGATATTTTATTTAGTATATAGGATATTTTATATTAAAGAAAGTGGGGGCTAAATTGAACTGACCTTGTATGGTCGTCCAACTTATTTTCGTCGCATTTTTATCAATGCTTTCACACCAAAGGCAAATAAGAGCACCAGGCAATTGAAGGATTCTAATATATATATAGTCTTTTATGGATTTCTAAAACTGTCACCTGTCAGATCAAGTCAGGTAAAAGTTTTTACTTAAATCCCAAGTTTAACTTAAATTTCTTTCAAGAGGTTGTTAATAGGTGAAAGTTTGGGTTAACATTTCCATCTACTTTATTATGCCTCCATTGTCTGTTCAAACATACATGGGAATCTGTGTTTCAGTTAGATTTGAATAGGACAAGGGATCAAAAGATAAAAAATTGTATTGTCAATCTTATTTCAATCTGTATTCGGTTAATCTAGAAATTAAAATTTACGAAATTATTATAAAGATTTAAAAATATATTATGAAATTCCAGTGGGGGAAAAAATTTCCTTGAATAAGTTAAAATGTTTTTCCTTCCAGAATTCGGCAGCCAGAAATATTAACAGGAATGAGACAATGTCCACAAACCAACATGATACAGAAATTAGGATATATGTTTCAAATTTTTTAAAGCAGTCACTTTTGCTGGCATGGTCATATTTGATCTACATTTTTTATAAACATACTTTTAATGGTTAACATACCCCTTTTTCATTCTTTCCAAATATGACAAAAACTGTTTTTGTTAGCTTATTTTTATTATATTTTGATAGTGTTTTTCATCACAATCCTTCCATGATTATCACTTGCATCAAAGTCAACAGATTTTATGTACAGTAACTGGTTTTTGAGATACATCATATTTCAAATAGCTTGAAAAAATGTTAAATCACAAAAATGCTGAACTCCGAGGAAAATTTAAAACGGAAGGTCCCTAATCAAATAGCAAAATCAAAAGCTCAAACACATCAAACATAAACTATACAAGATATCTCATAAACCATACTAAGTCTTTAGGACTCCAAAAAATCATATTTATTCTGATTGTAAAGTTCATATACACTTTTTAATCTCAAGGCCCACTAATTCAGGTCGCAGATTGTCATTTCTAATACACCTATCTGCTTTCTGGATAACATCACAAATATTTATTAATAAACGACTCTTCTCATCTGCCATTTTGAAAGTGCGATCACATGATCTATTTACTGCCATGTAGTTCCAGAAGGAGCGTTCATTGTTGAATTTATTTACTTATGTTATTTTAAATAAGATATCTTATATAGTCAATAAGATATCTAATAAACTAAATAAGATATCTGTTAAATCGATCATATGAGATATCTTGTATAGCTTATAAGATATCTTATATACTTTTAAAGATATCTTATAAACTATACAAGATATCTCATAAAGTATTTGCTTAAAAGATATCTTTAAAAAGATATAAGATATCTTATAAACTTTACAAAATATCTAATAAGTTAATAAGATATCTTATAAAATAAATAAGATATCTTATTAACTTCAAATTAAATAAGATATCTTATAGACATTATAAGATATCTTGAAATTGAATAAATATAAAAACGGCTTGCCATAATTAGGGGTCTTTTTTGCCCTCTAAATCATTTAATATAGATATGAAGATGTGGTATGATTGCCAATGAGACAAAAGTATAATACAGAAACTATAGATGGTAAAAAATTATCAGGACAAGAGCTACAAATAAGCCATCATGGCTGAAAGTATCAGTTGTTTTAGTGGAAACTATAGTAGAAAGAACAAATTTACCAGCAAGGCAAGATGAACTATTAAGTCAACATTGTTGAAAAATTGTCAGTTGAGCTTTTACAAGAGTTATTGCCCTTGAATGATAACTTTTAACCATTTTTGTGTTTATTTTCAAAAAAACTATGGAAGATGGAGAGAAACTGTAATAGCAAAAATTATCAGCAGAACATGATCTACAAGTTAGTACTCATGCCTTAAATTGTCAGATGACTCTTTTTTAGGAGTTATTTCCCTTGAAGAATGATATTATCACATTTGTTTTCATTTTTGCTTGAAACTATTTGAAATTTTCTCATTGCTTTGTATCAGTATAAAGATAGGTGAGTGAGAAAGACACCTTGGAGTCTCTAATTTTTAGTGGTTTAGATTTATTTTATTGGAAGACTTGTATGTAATTTCAATTATTTTACATGCAATCTTGTTTCACATTTTTGCACCTGTCCCAAGTTAGGAGCCTCTGGGCTTTGTTAGTCTTGTATGTTTTTTATGCCCCGCAACTAAAAGTTGGGGGGCATATTGTTTTACCCCTGTCCGTCCGTCCGTCCCATTATGGGTATATAGTTTTTCCACATAACTCCTCCTACAGTTTGAGTGCTAGGAAGTTTTCACTTTGCTGGCTGTTTGTACATATATTGAAGGTGTGCATGTGGTCAGGGTTTTGACTTTTATTAATATTTGCTCTTTTGGGAGATCGTTGAACTTTGTCATTTTGGAGTATAAGAGGTGCATAGAGTTTCCGGATAACTCCTCCTACAGTGAACCATAGACCTATTTGTTCCCATGCTCATCTTTGTGTATTTTAAAATAACACTTTCTCCCAGACACAATAATATCTCAAAGAAAGTCCTACATTGACTTGTTATAATACAGATACTTCAGAGTGGAGTGCGGGGGCATCACTTTGTCTAGTTTAATTTTGGTTCATTTATATGTTTCGGAGTTAAGTGTGACATCCATTTTTGCTGAACTAGTAGACATTTTTGTTAGAGGCCAGCTGAAGACTGCCTCCGAGGGTGCGGGATTTTTTCGCTGTGTTGAAGACCCATTGGTGGCCTTGTGCTGTTTTTTGCTCTTTGGTCGGGTTATTGTCTCTTTGACACATTCCCGGTTTCCATTCTCAATTTTGTTGTTTGCTTTGTTACTACTTGTATTATTTTATAGGCAGACATGTATACTTTAACTTTAATTTATACAATTATTTTATTAGAAATTATTGTCAGAAGTTTATGCTGAACTACAATTGTTTCAATTATTTAAAAAGTATTTTTGTTACTTAGTCTCTAATTATTTCAATTAATCTACTGAAAAATTTGTACGCTTTATAATATTAGTTTTACTATTTATTTCATAGGCAGATTTGTATGCAGGGGCTATATTCATTGAGCAGTCTCTAAAGTGGGATATATATGCATCTATAACATTGTTGTTAACTATTGCTGCCATCTTCACTATAGCAGGTAACAAAAGTTCAAATGTTCATTTTCTATTGATACCTTAAATACAATATGAATTTTGCTAGGTGAACTACTAAATATTGCAAGAGTCAAATCATGACAGAACAATGGAAAATACAAAAAAATGATTTTTAAAAGGTAAATACACGAGATCATGAGATGTTTGAATAATAATATATACAATATATTTTGGTTTTCTAACATGCACTTATTTATAAAATTTAATTCTACATAGAAATTATGTTTTCATTTCAATGAAAAAAAAGGGTCATCCAGCACTAAATATAATAATGAAACCAACAATTTTCTGTTATAGGTACAAAATGTTTGCTGTGAGACGTTGAGTTTTAGGCTTTAGTAAAAAAAAAATGGGATAATTTTATTATAAATAAAACAGAAGACATAGAAATTTAGTCATCTGTAACTTCCTAGGTTTTCTCCTATTTGCAGAATTATTCACACATAGAAGATTGTGAGAATTCATCATTTTAGATAAACAATTTCTTGAAACTGAATTAAAAGGCAGTTTGCAAATTTTCAGTAATAATTTCTGTATATTTTACTTAAGGAACTGACAGGTCTGTTTTTGAATTAGTAGTAATAGATATACAGAGAGGCTTTGAAAATTTGGGATGAGTCAATTAAATAAGTGAAATGAGTCACTTTTGAATTAGTTCAAAATAATTCATTTTTTTCTTAAATATTATATATTTTAGAAACAATTTTATGTTTTCAGTTTTATTTATACCTAGTAATGTTGAAGTGTGATAACATACATAAAGTAGCAATTTTACCAGTTTTAGCTATTTAGCTGAACTAAACTTACTGCCCAGTATTTGTTTGAAAGTATAGGCCTTTTCTTTAGTTCATTACTTACAGATGCCATCAGGTTCAGAGACCACATGCAGTGGCAAGAAAATAACTTTCTTTACATTGATTTTTGTACATTCAATTAATTATGGTGTATTTCATAATGCATAATGATACAATAATGTAAAGTACTTTCCCTTTTGGAATTTCTACACAAGAAAAAGTGAAATTTACAAGACATTTTTTAACTTTCAGGTGGATTAACAGCTGTGATCTGGACAGATTTTGTTCAGGCAATTCTAATGATTATAGGAGCTATAGCATTGATGATTTTGGGTAAGTAAAGCTATATTGTCTTGACAGATTTTGTCATTTTTGTTCAGATGATTTTAATGATCAAAGGAGTTATTGCTTTGATAATTCTGGGTATTAGGTAATAATGTAATATTTAAAATCTGTAATGATTTCGTTTAGGCGATTCCAATGATGGTGGGAGCAAAAGCATAATCATGATGTTTGGTTCTATTTTGACAAAATAAGCCAAAAAAAATATCAATGGCGGCTACGGCGTTAGCTAACTTCTTAAAAGCTTTATATTTTAGAAGGTGGAAGGTCTGGATGCTTCATACTTTGTATATGGATGCCTCATGTTACGAAGTTTCCGTCAGTCACATGTCCAATGTCCTTGACCTCATTTTCATGGTTCAGTGACTACTTGAAAAAAAAGTTAAGATTTTTTGTAATGTTAGATTCCCTCTTATTATAAGTAATAGGATAACTATATTTGGTATGTGCGTACCTTGCAAGGTCCTCATGCCCGTCAGACAGTTTTCACTTGACCTCGACCTCATTTCATGGATCAGTGAACAAGGTTAAGTTTTGGTGGTCAAGTCCATATCTCAGATACTATAAGCAATAGGTCTAGTATATTCGGTGTATGGAAGGACTGTAAGGTGTGCATGTCCAACTGGCAGGTGTCATCCGACCTTGACCTCATTTTCATGGTTCAGTGGTTATAGTTAAGTTTTTGTGTTTTGGTCTGTTTTTCTTATACTGTATGCCATAGGTCTACTATATTTGGTGTATGGAATGATTGTAAGGTGTACATGTCTAGCGGGCAGGTGTCATCTGACCTTGACCTCATTTTCATGGTTCAGTGGTCAAAGTTAAGTTTTTGAGTTTTGGTTTTTTTTTCTAGTACTATATGCAATAGTTCAACTATATTTGGTATGTGCGTACCTTGCAAGGTCCTCATGCCCGTCAGACAGTTTTCACTTGACCTCGACCTCATTTCATGGATCAGTGAACAAGGTTAAGTTTTGGTGGTCAAGTCCATATCTCAGATACTATAAGCAATAGGTCTAGTATATTCGGTGTATGGAAGGACTGTAAGGTGTACATGTCCAACTGGCAGGTGTCATCTGACCTTGACCTCATTTTCATGGTTCAGTGGTTATAGTTAAGTTTTTGTGTTTTGGTTTGTTTTTCTTATACTGTATGCCATAGGTCTACTATATTTGGTGTATGGAATGATTGTAAGGTGTACATGTCTAGCGGGCAGGTGTCATCTGACCTTGACCTCATTTTCATGGTTCAGTGGTCAAAGTTAAGTTTTTTGAGTTTTGGTCCTTTTTTCTAATACTATATGCAATAGTTCAACTATATTTGGTGTATGGAAATATTTTATGATCTATTTGGCAGTCACACAGGTTTTATTTGACCTTGACCTCATTTTCAAGGTTCATTGCTCAGTGTTAAGTTTTTGTGTTTTGGTCTGTTTTTCTTAAACTATAAGCAGTAGGTCAATTATATTTGTTGTATGGAAGAATTGGTAGCTGTACATGCCTGCCTAGCATGGTTCATCTGACCTTGACCTCATTTTCATGGTTCATTGGTCAATGTTTAGTTTACTTGGTTAATGTTAAGTTTATGTGACAGTTGTAATAAAGCTTTATATTTAGGACTATCAACATAATATCAATGATTAGTAAAGAAGGCGAGACATTTCAGCGTGTGCACTCTTGTTATAATAGCAATGAAGATGAATTAAAGTCTTATAGGATTGTAGGTATGCTTTATTTTACCCCCTTTTACTTTGATGATTTGACTGTGGTTTCTACAGCAGTTGCTAAAATTTCCGACCAGTTAGTTTGATAAATATAGATTCTTACATTGATACCAGTGGATTATCGGATTTATCCAATTGAGATAGTTAAAATTTATAATTTAACTATCAAGATTGGATAAATCCGATAATCCACGAGTAACTATGTAAGAATCTGTTTCTCTAATGATTAAAAAATAAATTTTCACCTTTTGTTAAACGAAAATCCCCTTCGCCAGTGCCTTCCACATTCCCCTAAGTTGTCAATTTCATTAACACCTGTTGGCAAATTTTGATACATCCAATGTGCTAAGCACGATAAAGGTTATGACCCTTAAATTCGTCCAATCATCTTCTGAGATCATCGGCAACCACACGTTGATTAAATTTTTTTATACAATGGGTTCAGAAAGGGATAAATTTCCATAGAATTAGAGAAAACAAATTACAATTGGGTCAGAACTTTGAATGGACTTTAACAGGTGGAGAGCAACACCTACAGTTAAGTCACAGTAATAACGCAGCAAAACTTCAAATCATATAGAGGAAGAAACATTATTTCTGATTTCTATTTTATATTACAGCCTTTGCCAAGGTTGGTGGATTGAGTGGTTTGATAGAGAAATATCCCAATGCCATTGCTAATCAAACCATACCAAACACAACATGTGGATATCCTAGGAAGGACTATATGAACTTGTGGAGAGACAACAATGCAGACATACCCTGGGCTGGAGTTATTGGACTGTCAATTAACTCCATATGGTATTGGTGTTCAGATCAGGTATTACTTTCTACAGAAATGTATACATGTATTTGGTACTTTTATGTTGGGGTATTAACCGTTGCCCATAACATTTTTTTGCCAGTGAATAGGTAAAGCAGAAAAAACCAGAGTTCTCAAAATCTTTTTTCCCTCAAGGTCCTTGAAGAAAATCTGCTGGTCCCCACTATTATTTCTATTGCAAAATTCAAAATTGTAGCAGTCCTATGCAAAATTTTAGTGGTCAGGACCTTTTGGACCACCAATTTTCCAAGTATTTGCAAATATTAATGAGCTTTGAATTTCAAGGGTAATATATGGTTTGCCTCACAAATTGATATAAAGATATGTGTTTATTGTTAAACAATACATACATTATGACAGCTCACATCATGGCAGTATAATTCAGTATAATTGCAAAAAGATTTTTGATTAAATGTAATCATCATAGTTTTGTCATGATTCAGGTGATTGTCCAGAGAGCATTAGCAGCTAAGAACTTTGATCATGCCAAAGCAGGAACACTATTCTGTGGTTATCTTAAGATCCTACCCCTGTTCCTGCTTATTTTCCCAGGAATGATTGCCAGAATTCTATATCCAGGTGAGTATGATAATAAAAGTCCTTTGTTAGTATAATCAGTAATCGATCTTCAGCAATTGTGATACATTGTGTGAATGATAATTGATGTAATCAGTATAATAATAAAAGTAAATTCAAGTAATCATTAATCACTGAAAATGATAATCAGATTTTGAAATGGTAGACAACTGAAATATTTTATAGCTTTTCAGATGGTTGTTTTTTTTTTAGTAATTTCATACATTATACAGTTGGTGACCTTCTGCTGTTGTCTGTTCTATGGTCGGGTTGTTGTCTCTTTGACACATTCCCCATTTCCATTCTCAATTTTATTTTAATTTTAATTTTAATTTTAATATACTAAAATAATAAAAAAAAATATAAATTGGTAGCTGTGTGGCTCTTTCCATCTCTTTGCTTCTTCACACTTCTTTACTCCCTCTGCAATTATTCTGTAAATGATATTCCTTCTGCTAACCTTAAAGATTCTGTTTATATTTCTAAGCAGATATACAAGACTTTCAGAATATTTCTGTCACTGTGTGAAACCCATTTCTATGGACTGTGGATTCATTATTATTCGTGGGATATCAATTTTCGTTGATTTCGTATGTACAAGTGAACCACGAATTTAAAATTTCAACGAATAACAAATTCTCTGTAGGTTTGTATGCAGACTTTGACAAAACCACAAAATCAAATATCCATGAAAAATTGGTACCCACGAAAATAAATGAATCCACAGTATATGTCACTTTGAAATGCATTTCTATATATATATGTTGGTAATTAATATATTTTCAGACAATTTAGAAGAAAAGAAAATCATATAAACAAGGAATATTTATTTTCCTGATGATTCTGCTTTCTTTTTGGGGTTGGTCAAGCCATGTCTGACATTCTTTTTGGGGTTGATCAAGCCATGTCTGACATTCTTTTTGGTGTTGGTCAAGCCATGTCTGACATTCTTTTTGGGGTTGGTCAAGCCATGTCTGACATTCTTTTTGGGGTTGGTTAAGCCATGTCTGACATTCTTTTTGGGGTTGGTCAAGCCATGTCTGACATTCTTTTTGCGGTTGGTCAAGCCATGTCTGACATTCTTTTTGGGGTTGGTCAAGCCATGTCTGACATTCTTTTTGGGGTTGGTTAAGCCATGTCTGACATTCTTTTTGGGGTTGGTCAAGCCATGTCTGACATTCTTTTTGGGGTTGGTCAAGCCATGTTTGACAACATTTTATATTCTTTTACATTATTATTATTTATCATTGTTGCATACTCTGCAATCAGCCATTCTTAATAGAACAATCCTACAGCTATAGCAAAGCTGCACTTTGTAAACCAAACATTTATAAAAAGTCATCACACCCTTTTTTCCTTTGTATTAAAGTCTAGTAGAAACTGCATAGTCAATTGACAGATGGCATTTCTTGCAGTTTTCTTTAGAATCATCAACATAACCCCTTTTCTATTATATTTTCTGTAGTATTGGTAGATTTTAAGCTTGAAAGATGAAAACATTCAGATATTAGCTACTTTTACTTCAAAAAAGGTTAAAAAGGTCTGCTAGCCTAGTATTTCTACCTGTATTTGGCCTTGTACAAAATGTAATTACCAATCAAAGTCATTGTACAGATATTGTCCATATCCTACATTTTGAAGTAGCCACAAATGACAGATTAGTAATTTTCTACTTTGGGTAGCTTTACCTTGTGATATTTCCGTCAGATCTAATCTTCTTTCTCATTGGACAAATTTCTGATGATAGCATTGTAGAGATTTAAAGATTATCGTTCGTCATCTCTATCGGTAAACAAGATTGATATGACCAATGATAATCTGTTTATCACTATTTTGCCTATGACGACGTTGATGTTTACATTGACAACGGCAAGTGCGCCCTTAGTTTCTAGCGATAATTTTTCATATCACTCTACTGTGCTGAGAAAGGAAATTATCAGTCAGTAAGATCAAAGGAAAATTTCGTAAAATAGCGATAAAACTTAATATCCTTAACTTTTGATTTGGCTGTTCAGGAAAATAAGGGTCATAACAAAATTGAAATAAAGGCCTTTAGGGGACTTCTAACGGTACACAAATTATATGCAAATGAGCTTTTCCTTTGAAGCTGGTATTTATTATTAATGATGAAGTCAACTTTGGTGAACACAGGCCTGGTTGGGTTTGGTGAGAACTGATGTTATGTGAAGGGGGACTTGGAGTGGGCCAGTCAAATGAAAAATTCTATTTTTTTTCTTTATTTCTTTACCTTCAAGATTAGGGGTTATTAGACAAAAGCTTTTACTAAGCACACTTACCATCCAAAGGCTTCTCATTTCATTGACATAAACTTCATAATAAACGCATTCAGTAGTTATTTTTCTGCAAGACTAGTTATATTTTGATGTCTTAGATCACACTCTAATTTGAGCAAGATTTGATTGTGTTTAAAAAAAAACACTGAAAAAAAAAATAATTTGAGCAAGCTGAAAATGGGCATCCAATAGTTAAAGATGCTAATTTTGCATCTGCTCCATATTTTTAAATCTGAATTTGTTCTCAGACTACCTCTTAACCCTAAATAAAAGAATCATTAATTGTCTTTAGTTGATGCTTTCTAGTGCAAGTAAACACAATGGGAGCTTAAAAAACAATTGTCTTTACGTTGATGGAACATGTCTTGATTTTGAAGTCATCATAAATCAGCTTTCTAGTGCAAGTCAACACAATGGGAGCTTAAAAAACAAAGGGATACTAACCCAGCTATAGCAACAGTATAAAAACTTATATTTCAGAAGGTGGTAGAGCTTGACAATCCATATTTTGTATATAGATAATTTATGGTCTGAAGTTTCCTATTAGCATATGTCACATGTAATTGACCTCATCTTCAGTTAATTGATTTATTGAAGTCAACCATAAACTTTTGTAAAAAGAGCAGTTTTGGGATTTGAATGGTCAAAGTTTCTGTGCTTAGTTTAGTTTCTCAGATAATATAATTAATAGGTCAGCAAATACATATAGATTATAACATGGCATTTTTCATATCAGACCCCTTATCAGCCCTAGGTCATGATATCAGCCCGAGAGCGGACAGGCTCGAGGGATGATTTTGACCATGGGCTGATAAGGGGTCTGATATGAAAAATGACATGTTATGTTCTTTTTATCATATACTTCAGCAGAAGCCATACAGACATGAAAATTTTTTTAAAACTTTATAAAATTCATTTATGTATTATTTGTTTTGTGTTTTTTAATAATATATTTTCCTGTTTCCTAATATTCCTTCTGTTATTCTACTTAGCTATGTTTTTCACTTAAATGTACCATTGGTGTTTATTTTCCGGAATTTGCAGAATGATGTTGAAATGCTTTGCGATTACGTTAAAGAAAGGCATGCGATAATAACAGGAAGCAGTTGATATAAACTGGAAACAGTTGATATATACCGGAAGCAGTTGATAACAAAAGTCATATCACACTGCTAAGACAATTCTTCAATTTTATTGAATTAATATATGTATAAATTAGTTTTATCAAGGGGTACAATTATATCATTATTTTCTACAAGTATATGATAAATAAATATATATCTGGTAATGCACTGACCGAACTGACACAGGGGATTCTACTTTAAAATGATATGTTATATATTATATATACATTGTATAAGGTTAAGTGAAACCTTCTAAGGTTTACATGTCAATCTGACAGGGTCATCTAATTTTGACTTTTTTTTTCCACTGCTGCTTGACTTTCAGTCCCCAAGAGTACATTTCTGCCAACTTTTAATAATGCAAATGCATGAGATTTGGCAAAAATCGTAATGATCAAAGAGAAAAAACAATAGATAAAAGGAAAATGCCGCCAAATAAGCATCAAAATGCGTGAGTCTCACGCTAAATGCGTGAGACTTGGCAGCCCTGAGAGTATCATCTGCCTTGCAGCAAGTCCTTCAATTCTAGCAAGATTTAGATGTCTAAATTTCCAGTTCATGCATTAATTATATAACTGTACTAGCACTAAGGTTGCAAGTCCCTCAGGCAAAGTTGACCTTAAACAGTTTTAGGTTCTGAGGAGGTCCTATTCATTTTTATGCTCTCCAAAGTTTGATTTTTTTGGCCTTCAAAATTTTTTATCTGGATGGTTATTCCAGTGACATGATGTGGTGTGCTGGAAATTCAGTATAAATGCATTTTATAATTACTAATGATGGTTTAATAATAAACACTAAGTTTAAGTTTATGTTAGTTTCTGAGTTTCTATGAGTTATAAGGTCAACTGTATTTGGTCTAGACTACATATCTGGCTAACAGAGTTAATCTGACCTTGACCTCATTTGCATGATTCAATGATAAATGAAGAGACTTTCAATATAGAAAGTTAAAACCAATAAAGGAGGGGAGACATTTCGTGGTGTCCACTTTTGTATCTATATGAAAATATAATACAATTTGAAAAAGATCAACACACTTATTTAGTATAGAACTGTTGGTCTGAGAGGTCTGAACACTAAATATTTAACAATATAATGCTTGTTTGTTAAATATCACTCTGTTTGACAGTAAGTTGACATGTTCAGTTTTATCTGAGTTTTTAACATTCACTTTAGTTATTTTTAAGTATTCCAGAATTACCATTATGTTTTTTATTATTATTTGATAACTTAATTATTCAAAATAGTAGAGTTACAATATATTTGTAAAAAAATATATGAACAGCTATATTGCACAGCTAAAAGAATGGCAAGTTGAATGAGTGATTTGAGTTATTTCGAACCCAATGAAAGTTTTCCACAGTGCCATCTCTATCTGGTCAAGGTATTTAAACTTTTGTAAGTTCACCTGTCCTATTGAATAAATACAATAGCTATTGTTCTCTGTGTAGTTTATTCTCTGGGACCTTTAAATTTCTTCAAGAGAAATCTGTTACTCATTGATTAATTTACCTGAGTAAAAAAAAATCTTCTAAATAGACGAAAATACATGTTTAATACTCAAAACTGCATGTGATGTTGTATT